AACAAATATATAAACCATCCCTCAGCCTTTTCTCCCCCTGCATTTCAAGCAGTAGGTGGTACTAATAAAAACACCACCTCATATTTCTATAGCACTTTACAGTTCCAAAGCCACCCTCATTGCCCAAAGTCACTCTCCACCCCCGCACAACCCCAAACCCTTGCCACCCCAATTGCACCCACGTGGCTGCCTTTCCCGATGGCCCGCCCTGTGCCAGTCCTTGCCTGGTAAGGCCACGTGCCCCCCTGGGGGGAGGCCATGTGTTATGTGAAGCGTCTCCTCATAAAGAGTCAGCTGGCCAGAAATGTGGGCAGAGAGCGAAGGGCAGCGTGTTCAGGTTCTGTTTATTATGTTCTCACAGCCTTGTTTATAGTAAAGGTGAACGACATTATTCCACTTTGCACAGTAATGAAACAACTCACTGAGGACTCCACCAGCCAAGCGGTTTATATGGCAGATGAGCTGCTACGAATCTCCTGTGCACGCCGCGTGACTCAGTTCTGCTGCTGTGGCTGGGGGGCACGCCAAGCCCGGCCACCTTCTCCCGCACGTGGCAGAGGGAAGGCCGCAGAAGGGTCCAAAGGGAGGAACAACCAAACAAGGGCACAGTTTATGGAGAGGGCCTGGACCCCACACCCGGCAAGGCCAGTGGTGCCCTCTTGCAGTCTCCCATATTGGTCCCCAGCACCCTGTGGGGTCCTGAGAGGCCACGGGGACAGGAAGACATTTCTGCTCTTGGCTTCTTCCTCCACGATCTTATGCCAAGTGGCACAGGTTCTCAAAGGCAGGAGTGACTTTGCCACCTCTCTTGCTTCTAACCCAGAGAGACACATATTTAAAGAGGGCTGACACTCGGCCGACTGCAGGACAGTGTCAGATGGAAAATGAAATTCCTCTGCTTTGCTTGGAAGTAGGCACAGGCAGGGTCCGGAGAGTTCCGGGCGCTCATGTCAATGGGAGCCATCTGGCCTCTGAACGTGCCGCCTTTCACCTGTCCCTTCTGCTTGGTGGAAAAGCAGACGCCACGTCAGCTGCTTGTCTTTCCCGCACTGTTCCTTCCTCTTCTGTCTTCCCCACTCCTACCGTCCCCCAGCTCTCAACACAATGGGTTCAGGTCTTTCCCTCACAGTCCAGGGCCCGGGCTACGGGGACACCTCGGCCCTGCTGAGGAAAAGCACCCAGGCCCTCCCTGCACCCAGAGGCTGGGCCTGCAGCCTGGGCAGAACACCATTTCCCAGCTTTGGTTTGTTCAGAGCAGCAAGTTCTGGGGGGAGCACCAGAGAAGGAAATCAACTAGGAACCTTCCAGCTGCCCATCCAGCCTGAGACCAAAGAGCGAATCACGAGGGCTTAGAGCAGGAACTGAAACCCCACTGTGGCCTTGGGAAAGAGAGCCCCGAAGAGCATGATATTCCCAGGATGGGACACACCCTTCACCCACCACCTGAGTTCCAACCACCCTGTCGCAAGGCCTTGGACACAGAGGCACAACCTAATGCAAATGGCCAAACATCGAGTGCACGAACACACACAAACAAGGGAGAAGCCCAGGAGGTGAGCTTGGAGGAAGCACTATGAATGAGACTCGGATGCGTGGTAAAGCCTCTCTGAATCAAATACCCTCCAGAGCTGCCCACCATCGGCCTACCCGCTGCCTCATGCCCCGTGCAGCTGGGGCAGAAACATTATCTCAAAGGGGCACCCAGAGTCCGACTCGGGGCTGGCAGGTTCCTGGTTATTGTGCCGGTTTGCCTCTGGGTGTGCTCCAGCCCTCTAGGCCCTGCCGCTGGGTAAGCTCAGCCATACTCCTCCTCACTCCCCAGGCCGGTGCTTCCTAACCTCATCCGCATGGGGAATCACCAGGGGTGCGTTAAAAATGACTGCTGTCTTGGGTCCCAGCCCCAAGCTGCTCTGGGGTAGGACCTGGACATTTAGGTCTGAAAACTCCCCAGGTGATTCCAAGGAGAAGCCAATGCTGGGAGCCACTGTCTCAGACCATCTTCTTTCAAAGCCTACTACTCCATGGGAACGTATTAAAAATGCAGTTTTCTGGGTGCCCCCCAGGTCTTTTGGATCAGCATCTCTGGGTGTGCCACCTGGGAATTAGCACTTGTAACAGGCTCTCCCGGTAAGCCCTGGGCACGCTCAGAGGATGCTGGGCATGCTCACCCCACGGGCGCCCTGGGGCTATGAATGGTTGTCATTGATTAGGTTCTATTTGGTTTGCCGAAGGCAATAGGTAATCTCACACCAGCCTAACAACAGGTTGACACTCAAGTAGGGCCAAAAGGCCACTTGCAGGGTGAAGAGCAGCAATCCTAAGAATCGCAGCTCTGCCTGGCCCACTGCCCTGGCTTCCCTGGGTCTTCAAAGGGCCCAGGCCCAGAGCAAGCCTCGAGCCTGGAAGGCAGTCCACAGCACGAGCCCGGCCTGAGGACCAAAGGAAGACCTTACATGGAAGAAGTGGCACCTGCAGATGCCCACCTAGTAAGGCGGACGAGGGCCCATAGAAGAGGAACTAGGAGAGAGCGTAGGACTAGGAGACATGGAAGGTCAGGGATGAGGTATGCTTTGATATTGCTCTAGGTGTTGTAAACATTTCTCTTTGTTTCATCACAGACCAAAATCTGGCTTGGCATGACCTAAGTGCCTGAAAATAGGCATCAGAGCAGAGAGCTCTGGGCCTTTTGTGGGAAGCAGGACAGAAAGGGTGTGAGGACAGCTCCACCCCATGGGAAGACCATCTCTGTGGGGTACTGGCCTCATGCTCACAATGGTCACATACACACGCACACATGCAGACACTCCACGGGAGTACCATAAATATAGCTATCACATTCCTCTACACACAGACACACGCCCACATACCCTCCCATAGCGGCAAAATTCACGATACCCAAGCTTGGTCCTTCACACCTCCCCATCGTGGAAGAAAGTCACCCAGCGCCATGACACCACCATTTGCAGCCTTCATTCCACAAACGGTTGGCAAGAACTCCAGGCCTCAGGTGAGGCCACTGCCCAACACTCTTGTGCAGACTTCTCCTGGGGATAGTGGAAGTGGTAAAAAGGCCCCTCTTAAGCATTTCATTTTTCCGTAACTCTGTGCTGTTCCAATTTACATGCACTTCATATTCGACAGTAGAGTTGGCAGCAGATGCACATTTCATATGTAAACAATGTTTAAAATACCCTGTTCAAGAATTTGATCATTAAATTAATTCTGGCAGCTTTAGCTAAGAATGGTTTTTTACCAGTGGGGGCAGGGGAATACTACCTGATCCAACTAGGAACACCCTTTTGAGGCTTCAGAGTTCTTGAACATGAGATTTCACAGGATGCTTCAGTGTGAGGGCTAGGAGGCATGTGTTTTCTCTCTCCTTGACGGTTCAGACAGACTCACCAACCTCCGCTTACAGACATAATGTGTTTTGGCAGGGCAATGAACCCTAACACCAGTGGGACTCAAGAGCCTCCTTGACCTTGTCTAGCTGCAGCCAAAGAAGGGAGAGATTCACAAAGTTACTGGACAGGAATGCAAACGCTGGAATCCCGTGTATCTGAAGAGGCCCATCACCCCATAAGGGGAGAATGCAGCCCAGTTCTCGATCGCCTAAACTCCAGAGCTTGTGCCTAATCATAGCTCTTTCATTTAGTCAAGCTGAAAGTTTTGGAGATCTGCAGTGAATCCAAATCCACTGGCTGTGAATTATCCCAGTAGTACCTCCACCACATTCTCTATGATTTGGTCCACCTGGAGACCAGCCTCTTCCAGACTCCTCTTCCACTTTCTGGTCTCTCTGCTGACGATTCACATCCCAGGTACTGCAAACTTGTGCCAAAGTCCACTTTTTCTCAGGCAGCTAGAGTGTTTTATGCTCATCCTCCAAGGAAGAGTTTCCTGACACAGTTCCAAAAGCAGCCTCAGGGTACCATGAAAGCATTTTCGGAAGATTCTCCACAGCCAGATGTTCACAGTGATCTTAGCCTCACCTCCTGTTCCATGTTCAATCCCAAAAGGTCAGAGATCAAGAAGGAAGTTGCTGAATAGCCAAGGTGGCCCTCATGAGAGAGACCTTTCTAAGAAAGCATGCTCCCAGGAAGCAAGCTGAAGAGTTACAGCCTAAGTTCCCATTCTCCCCCATCATAATTACATGACCTGCATGGAAGGGGGGACAGGGAGAGACAAGGAAAGTATTAGGCACCATGAGAGCTGTCCATGCTAGGGGAATTCATTCACCTCCCTTTGTCAAGCTGTCTGTCATTCTAAGAGATCAGTGATGTGTGATGCCACAGGGAGGTGAGGGCAGAGAATACAGTAAGCAACAGAAAGGATATATGGTGCCCCATTGCACAAAAGTCTACTGGTGCTATGTTCCCTGGTCATTTGACTTCTGGAATACTTCTTGGTAGAATCGAGGAAGATTTGCAAGCTGTATCTTTCTTAAAAGCAGCTCCACATCAGAAGTCATGAAAGACATCTCCCAAGACCCTTCCTGGAATTGCGAGGGTAAAAAAAGTCTTGTGAATTTCCTAGGCTAAGACGGGCAGTGATCACAGTTTTTCATACTGGTCCAGTGGAAATGGAAGAAATAGCCGACCTCATGGAGTTTGCCCCTTCTCCCAGGGCCACCTGTTAATGACAGTGCTAGAAACCTGGGATTCCCCCAGAGACCTCTCTCCTACATTGTGAGGTCCCAGCACGCAGGACTGGCCATTACACTGTGACAGCAAATCACAAATATAAGCCAGAGTCTTCTAGCTCTTCCTCACAGGGGTATAGTCCAAGTTAGAGTCAGGAATCTTAACTGAGGAGGGTATGGAAGTGGTGGAAATTGCATTTGCATTATTTACACATTAGCCCAGCTAGCAAATCTGCCTTCTCAGTGGAGATGACCCAAGGCATTATGGAGGGCAAGTCGCTGACCCAGAAGAAGGGTAACAGCAGCAAGGTGCTACCACTAACTGAAACACAAACATGGGTAAATGGAATAGAGTCCAAGCTCTGGTGACTGGATCTTACTTTGGAATGGCCTTTCATCCACTTCTCACTCCCAGGCTCCCAACCTAAACACCATTGCTTTTTGAACACCTATGACATTTCACGTTAGAATATGGTCTTGGCAGCAAAAGGGAGGGGAAAAGCCAGTGATCTCCAAGAGTCCCCATCTGAGGTCTAACTGAGCCTCCTCTGGCTTTGGGACAGCAAATCTAAGTACATTTTGGACCTCAGGAACCTGGGATAAGAGTCTTTCTCCATGAGGCTGTGTACTTTTCCCTGGGCTTGGTCAAAGCAAGTCAGGGATGGCTCCTGCATGTTCTTCCTCGTGGCTTCTCGGGTCTGGAAGTCTATGTTTACCTGGAGACAAACAGAGAGCATGGTCACAGGCCCTCAAGGGCCAAGGTGCCTGGCAACTGCTCTAGCTATGTAATAATTATTAATGACAGTATCTTATATATGTCAGCTTATTCATGCTTTTCACACTGTTTTCCTGGAGGTCATCCCTTTTGATCCCAGAAAGAATCCTGTGAGGTCTGAAGACCAGATATACCTCATCCCAATTTACAGATAAGGACACTAAAGAAAGGAGATACTGGAAAGCTGGTCTAAAGTAGTATGGAAAGTTAGTAACAGAGTCAAGGCAAAACCCTAATCACTTAACTCCTAAGCCAGGGGTCTTCACCATATCAGGCAAAGGGTGAGACTGAAGGTAAGTATTAATGTGGATTCCGTAAAGAAAGCTTGCCCTACCTACTAGGGAAACAAATGTCCCCAGAAGAGAGACCATGGTTATAATGGACATCTCTGTTCCAAGCATTATAAGGAGCCTACAGTGTCCTGGCCACTGACCAAAGATCTCCTACAACCCAAGTCAAAGGATAATTGAAGAGTTCTAGGTATATCATGCACTTAAATTTGCTCATAGAGAGCAAATATTTTTCTTCTATAAAACCATCCCAAGTAAAATTCTACTTTATAACTCAGCATAGCAATTCATTTTATTATTGTAATGATACTAAGTTATAATAAGATAATATAAATGACTGTAATGACTCATTAAGAAGCAGTGACAGGGGGCGCCTGGGTGGCTCAGTCATTAAGCGTCTGCCTTCCGCTCAGGTCATGATCCCAGGGTCCTGGGATCGAGCCCCATGTTGGGCTTCCTGGTCAGCAGGAAGCCTGCTTCTCCCTCTCTCACTCCCCCTGCTTGTGTTCCCCCTTTCGCTGTGTCTCTCTCTGTCAAATAAATAAATAAAATCAAGCAGTGACAGATGTTGAATAGGTACTTTATCCCTAATACTCAAGAGTAGTCTTGAAAGGTAGGGGATATTATACACTTCTACACTGGGGAAAATGTGATTCAGAGAGACTAGCTGACTTGGCCAAGATCACACAGCTAGTAACAAGATTCCAAAGTGGATGCTCATCCCATTAAGCCATGCTGCCTTCCACTAGGAAAACTAACATGGATTCAATGGCATCTACCCTTGCAGAATCTCTATAGGAACACAGGTCCTGCAGGCGCATTTTTGACAGCTAAAACACTCCTAATTGAGCTCTTTTTTAGAAGCCCTGGGTTCTGCACCTTAAAAGTGATCCTTTTTTTTTTTCATTAAGAGCCATCAGAGAGGTAAGGCTCGTTCAGAAGACAGTACCCATCAAGACTGGCTCGAACCCCCACAAGGAGAGTGATGTGAGCCAGGAGCCATGGATAGAGGTCTTACAAGACTCTCGCCACTGCCAACACACCTCCCTTGGAGCCTGCACATCCACAAACTCCTCAAAGATCCTATGGGCCTTGGAGACCAGCTTTGCAGTTGACCTGGTCTTCTTGAACTCCTCACACGCCAGCCAGAATTCCAGGTTCTCCTCGCTGAACTCCGTCTTCAAGAAGGCGCGGAATGCAGCCACCCCATCTGTGGATGTGGTGGGTGGGGGGAGGAAGAGAGAGAGGAAGAGGCTTAAGCTCATGAACTATAGAAGCAAGAGAGAAAGGCAGCAACAGTGTGAGACCAGCCCGGACTATCCAACCCCCAGTGCCCCACATCCGCTTGAAGACTCTCTCCCAAACACACAAGTACCCTCAGAGGCAAGCTCTGCTCCTACTCAAGGACTGTAGCAATGTGAGGGAGAAATGTTGAGGAAGCCATAATAATAATGATTATGAGAAGCCCTGGTCACTCTTCATAGCCTTCAGTGGTCACTACCTGTCCCCTAATGCAGAGTCCGCTGTCCCCTGAGTCCACTGGTGAACCTGTGTTTCTAATTAGGCCAAAGTAATATTTGTAATGCATTTCCTACCCTAATCCAAGTTAACCACCCTGAAATAACAGTCTGTTACAAGACAAACTACAGGAGGGTGTGAATGCCTCAGGGCAAATCCTTCACTACTACCAGAAGAACATCTGAAAGTAAACACTGAAATTCAGTCACTAAAGCCATTCTATTACCTTCACAGGGTTCCCAGCCTCTTCTAAAAAACTTTCAAGGCGCTGTGTTTTAATGGTTTAGCCTGTGGATACTTTATTTTAAAAGATCTTGCTTATCAAATTACACGGTTTAATTAAGATTAATTACAATTTTTCTCCCGAATGATTTAATTATGAACACACCTTTTCATTTTTTTTAAATCCATGTCATGCATATTGCCAGAGTTTCCAATCAGAATAAGATGAGCAGAGTTACCATGTAGATTTGGAAAACAACATCCACTGATAGCCTATACATTCAGTTAATGTTTTTATATTAAGATAAATTTTATAAATTATCTTAACCCTCAAAACACTCTCCTCCACTCAAATTAGAGCTATATCTTTCTACAAACTGTCCTCAGGGAATGGGCAGACACAACCTAGAATGAAGTGACTGCATTGGTTAAAAATGACTCTGGTCAGAATGTTTTCTTTCTTTTCTAAAACTTGTTAAAAGGACAATTATGTCAACAGTTCTTAGTTCTGAGAGAGGGGATCACCTGAGTATTTGAGGCCCACCAGTGTGCACCAGGACAACGTGCCGCCCAGGATCATCCCATGGATCAGTGGTGCCCTGCTATTGACATATTTAAATGTTTGTCTTTACTTTTGTGAGAGATTTTCATTTCTAATTAAAAAGTCATTGGGTATCTTTGTCTTTCAAAATAGATGTTGTAATGCCCTACACTGGAACTGTTGTCGTTAAAAAACCAAGACTTTTAGTTGCCAGAGCCAGGAACTTGAGAGAAAAGGGTTTTGATGGAATTCCCAAAGTTAAACTTTAAATCGAAAAGAAATCTAAGTTTGGAGGCCTGAGTTTAAAGTGTTTAACAAAAGTAGGGTAGCCATGAAAACTAGCCCCCAAGCCAGTACGTTTTTGAGAGTCAAGGGAGGCATGCCTGTTAATTACACAGAGACAATGGGCATAAACCACGGCCACCATAGACAAAAACCAGGACATATGATCACCGTAAGACAAGACATATGGTCCTCTAAGATAAGGAGTATGGAGAAAGCAGAACATGATGTAAGGCTGTTTCCCGTCAGGCAGGATGGAAATAAAATTGCTCGTGTGCCAGGGAAGGAAGAGGAGAGTAGTGTTTAAACTCATATGAGAGTTTGGCTCAGGGCCCCACGCACCCTCATTCCTACATTGGGTTTAAAACCCTGAGAGGAGGGAGTAGAAACCAAAGATAAAATGTGAATCAAAGAGAGCAGTAAGCACTAAGATGACAAAGATTAGACAGAGAAATGGCCAGAGAATCATTCATTCAATTTAATGATTTTTTTAAAACTACCAATGTACAAAATACGTCAGGTCATAAAATCCACCCATAAAATCTCTTGTGGATGCTCTTTTTTGCCACACCTTGTCTCCTCCAAGTTCTTTTAGAGGTAACCCAGAGGTTTCCCCGGGCTCTGAGGAACTCAGATCTGAGAGCTAGCCTGCCTGCCAGGAGATTGCCATTGCTTGCAGAAAGGGCCCCTGTAGCAGAGGCCACAGGCAGAGGTTGGTTGGAATACCATTTGGAGCTGTGGAAGCCTCCAAAGAGACTCAGTGCCCATGAGATCCAAGGTGCAGCTGGTCCAGCAAGGTGGTCTCTGAGCAGTGACCGGTCCACACATGACAAGAGCCATGGATGCTATTGGTGGATGCAGGGAGGACATGAGGACCACGGGCCAAAAGCCTTCTCCTGTGGGCAGGGAGTGGGAAGGAAAGGGCAGGGGGAGAACCCTAAAACACTGTGCATTTATCTAAAAGAGTAAATGCAAAGTGGCTTGGAAGAGTCACTTGGAAGGGCCTCTTGTTTTTAAACTGGAAGAGACCAAATCCTTTGAATGGCAAAGCTGAAGTTTGTTGTTTGTGTTAGATTTTGTGTTGTTTTCCATCGAGAAAAAATTGAATCCAGTTACAGATAAAGAAAATTACCTTTCTGCCTCTCTTGATGGCATTGGTGGAGATAACCCGCTAGGGAAACTCTCCGACCTCATGCGAGACAAGAGACAGACATTATCTCCCTTCACTGAAGTCTCAGCTTTGTTGGGCCTTTGTGTGGATTGAAAGAGAGAGAACACCTGCAAGGTGCTCTCAGGATTGTTGCTGTACTTCTCCCAATCTTATAGGGACAGAAGCTGATGCTTGGAGATCAGGCTTGGCCGAGTTCACACAGGTAATACTGATAGCATTAAAAATACAAAGTATACTAACTCCCAATCCAACATAGCAATAATGCCTCCTCCATTCATTCATTCGCTCATTCACACACCCATTAAGGGACCCAGGCATTCTTCGAGATGTGCTAAAAACAGGCACAACCAAGCCCTCAGAATTTGCAGTGAAAGGGCCGTTTGAGCCAAGAAAACATAATTTGGTAGTTATGATATACGTGATAAGTGGGATGGCAGGGTAAGCACAGGTTGCTGTGAAAGCACCCAGCAGGGATGCCGAGCCAGACCTAAGGCCCTAAGAAGGACGGAGAAGCTTCTAAGCTGAGATGTGAAGTAGAGGAGCAGGAAGCTAAGTGAAAGAAGGGAAGGGAGGATGGAGAAGCGAATTGTAGGAAGACAGAGCCACACCAGCGAAGGCCAATAATTAAGAATGTTTGAGTAATTAGGAATAGCTCAGGAAGACTAGTGTTCAATAATAATCACGTAAACAATTATTGAGCCTACTTATAAGATACATCAAGAGTTCTGTGAAAGAGCCAGAGAGACAGAAGGATAACACAGCACTGCAAAAACCCAGGGAAGCGAAGGTTTTGAGGAGGGGGGAGTGGCCATGTGGCCAGTGCTACCCAGAGATCAAGCTAGCCACGGTCCAAGAGGTGGTTGTTGGATTCGGTGACGAGATTCAGCGACCATGGGCAGTTGCAGCTCTAGTGGTGTGATGGGGGCCCTGGGCACTGGGGTGAACATGGGGGTGAAAGAGAGGAGAGGAAACAGAAATAGTTCATTTAGATGTTTCTTGCAAGAAGGGGAAGAGAGAGATCAGACAGCATAACTGGAAGGAAATCAGAGGTCAGGAAAGAAGGGTTTGGGGTTTTCTGGTTTTGTTGTTGTGTGTTTTGTTTTTTGTTTTGTTTTGTTTTGTTTTGTTTTTGGTAAGATGGTCTTGAGTATGTTTGAATGCTGATCTAATCAGAAAAGACTGCTTGACTAGAAGGAGTTGAAATTAAAGGACAGAAAGAGTTTAACTGATAGAATGTTACAGAAATAAGCCTGAGAAGAGAATTATGATGGAGAGGAAGAGAAAGGGCTGCATGTGGATACAGAGAAGTTTCTAGTTTGGGTGCAGGAAAATGAAGGAATTTCTGTCTGATTTTAGCTGGAGAAGGTGGTGGGACCTAGGGATGGCAGGGTTTTATTTTTACGTATTTATTTAGGATTTGGGGCAGAAAATTTTATTTATTTACTACATGCCATATTTTTTGCTGGGGATTTTGCAAACACCAGCTCAATTTATTTTCACAACAATGCTGATACATAGATAGTAGCACTCTGGTTTTCCAAATGAAGACATTAAGACTTACTTACAGAAGTCGAAGAAGTGTCCCAGTTCCACAGCTGGCAAGGGGAACCAAGTTTTGCTACCAGGTCCATATGACTCTAACGCAAGATCTTCTTAGATGTATTTGCAGGCAGAAGGAAAAGACCAAGGGAAGAGAAAGATTAAAGGATCAAAAGAATATATCTGGTGAAGGCAAATCCTAGAGAAGGAGGGGGACCAAGAAAGAGTAGGAGAACTTGTCTCCCTTAAAGTCAAAAGTAGAGAAAAAGAAAGTGGGGTGAGTGAGGATAGAAAGACCTGACCAGGGAAGCGGCATCTTTGAGATGGATAAGGCTGAATAGCTTTGATCTTCATTAATTTGGGGTGAAGTCCCCGTGAAGGTGGTCTGCCTCCACGTGCTAGGCTGTGAGGACATGGCATGAGTAAATCAGATGAAGTCACCACCTCACAGAACTCGAAAGCTAGTCCAGTATCACAGACGTTGAGCAATAATTTAAAATAATTAGTTGAATATTATAAGTCCAGTGTGTGATACAGGGGCTTGGGAAGGGTTTGGAATAGGTACTTCGGAAAAAGAAGCAGGAATAGGGTAAGAAACAGGCCAAGACCTGTGAGGTCCGAGGTGCCAGCTCCTGAACAAGTTTTACGAGGCACCAGGAAGGGAGCAAGCACTTTTAACTCTGAGGATGCGCCCATCATTCAAAGAAAGGACCGTCAGTTCCAGGTTGGCAGATGACGCTTGAACCCGGAGAACAGCAAGGATATTTAGGATCTAAACGTTGGAACATAGGAAAAGGAGAGAAGGACAAACATGAGGTTAAAAAAAAAAAAAAGGTTGACGTTAGAGAAGGAATTTTGAAAACGGACCACTGCAGGCCCTGAATGTGCACTTACTTTGGGCCAGGTACCACCTTAGATGCTCTGTGAGCCACCAGCA